GCAACCAGAAGGAGTGTCTCCTAATGTGAACACACACATTTCCACCTGCCCACTAGAGTTGCCCGCTGGATATGAGGGTAACCATCCAGAAAGAGCCCATGGGGCCAGTCACAGGGGGTCACAACTGCTCAGTAACAGGGAGAGGCAATGAGGCAGGCCCACCCAGGCTCACTCCATTTCAGCTGTAGGTGCCTGATGGGAGCAAAATGGCTTCTCCAACCTGGCACTAAGATGGCCCCAAAGGCCCCATCCCATGCACACTTGACCATCAGGCCCCAAAGTACGTCCTCAGCACACACAGAAACAAGAAGCATCTCCATTCTCCAGGCCTGAACTTCCAGAGAAATAAACAAGAACCCTCTCGAAATCATAGTTTTCAAATGTGTCAAAGAAAATACAGAGGATTACAAAGAAAACAATTACATTGAAATAGTTATCAAAATATCACAAAAAACCCAAGCCCCTTCACAGCCCCCAGGTTAAGAACGCCCGGCCTGGGATACACGGTCTCTTAATTCCCTTCTCTATATCAAAATCAGGGTGGTGAAAGCTGGCTTTCAATCCTGGCTCTTGCGACCTCAAACAAGGCAACTCCATTTCTCAGTGCCTCAACTTCCTCAATCCAGAGCCTAGATGTTCATAAAGGTTCGTCCAATTCAATCTGGACAATGATGGGGGTGGCCCCCGGGGATCTCTCTCAGGTCCTTTCTGCCTTAAAAAGCTGTGGTTCTGGATGGCATGTGTTCATGGTGACAGCACATAAGAATACCACAGTGCTATGTCTGGAGTCCCAGGGCCTGGGTTCCAATCCTGACTCAAAGTCATTTAACCTCCTTATCTGTAAAATGGGAGCAGAGGGGTTAGGCTAGATGCCCTCAGAGCTCTGATTATGATCAATGTTCCAGAGGTTTCCAAAGGTAGAAGAACATTTCTACCACCTAAGCCCAAAAGGTGTGGGGTTGGGGGAAGGGTGAAAATCCTTCCTGGAAACTAAACTCCAGGCAATGCCAAGTGGTGACCATCTTGGAGGCCAGCATTAGTGAGTTTCCCAGGGAACTATCTGCTGCATTTCTGCAAAAGGTATTTATTCTTAAAGAGCAAGCCCAACACTTGCCCACTTTCCACACGGGGCCTTCACTAGAAACATTTCCCTGGGCTCTGTGTGCCTAAGGGGGCTGGGGGGGGGGGGAAGATTGTAATTCATTGCTTTCAGTGGAAAAGAAAGGTCACCCTCTCTCCCCAATCTGGGGCCAAGACTGGCTACAAAGTTTCTCCTGACCAAGACAGCAATTCTTAAAAACAATGAGCTCCCCCAGTAAGGACAGCCGCTCCCCGCCTCTCTGCAAAGGCAGAGCTGGCTACAGTGTCTTACCCTCCCCTGCCCAGGGTCTGCTGCCGGCAAAATAATCACCAGGACACATTCCAGATTGGGGAGGGGGCTGGGAAACAAGGCAGGAAAGCCTCGGCCCCCCACCCCACCCCCAAGAAATGCTGATCATTAATTAACCTTCCTCATTTCTTCCCCAGCTGCAAAAGGCTTTGATTTGCCCGGGCCCAGGGCCCCCAGCCTCTAGAGTAGCTAACAGTCTGATGCGATAAAAAGGGCGGGGGGGGGGGGGAAGCAAAGTTTGGTACCCCAAGTTCCTAAAATTTTATGTTAGAATGACATAAAAATTGAGATTTATCAGGAGAGGCACCACTGCTCTGGTGACATTAGCCCTGACTGGGGCAGAGCCAGCCAAACGGCTGGGAGAGGGTGTGTGGAGGGAGAGCCCCGGCTCCTCTCTCCCAGACCATGGAAAAGAACTTTGTTTCAAGGAACTTCTTCGCTCCCTTAGCCCCGGTGCAACATCCCTGTCTGATCTCCCAACCGACCGAGGAAATTCAACATATTTCTTTCAGGTGCTCGATTACTCTTCCTGCAACACCCATTTTTCTACATTATCCAAATTTAAGTCTTCTCTTTTCCCATTTAAAAAAAGGGGGGGGAAAGTCCCTTGGAAAAGGGACTGGCCCTGAGATCTTACTGCTAGAGAAAAACCCAGGATAAACCCGCCTCTGACCAATGCAGGTATTCTGGCAACACAAAGTCTCTGACTCAAGGTGCCTAGGACAGTGTGAAGCAACTCATCCAGGCTCACACTGCCAGAAGTAGGGCTGGGTTTTAACCCAAAACTTACTGATACCCAGGCTAGCTTTTTTTATTCATTATAGCACAACACCTCATATTTTTCTTACATCAAGACAGAATTATTTGGGAGATTTTAGATGTTAGTTTTTCCAAAATTCAGCAAGTCCTCATTCAATTTGTAAATTCTTCCAGAAAGATCCAAAAAGATCCGGAAGTGACCCATGGGGAAAGTGTTCTTTTTTGAATGGAGAAAAGGTTTAGGTTTAGAAGCAAGTCAGTGAAACAAATTTCTACTAAACTAATCTAAGTTTTCTTCTTTTGGTGGCAAAGCATTTGAGAAAGCCTGAATAAGTCCACCAAAATCAAATACACATCCCTTGAATTCTGTCAGTCGCCGTAACATAAACAGAGAGCCCTGAAGTATCTAATGAATTATTTTGAGACCTAAGAAGACTGCAGCAAAAGGTCATCTTTCTAAACAAGAAGGTATTAGTGAATAGAAATTGAAATGATCACTATCTTTTGAAGAAACTGACTGACCTCTTTCCATGTGGCACACCTTACAATGGCTAACCCTTCCCCCTACCACTACATACTTTTTTTAAGCAAAAAACAAGTTAGTCTTCTATATACAATGTTTTTTTCAAGTCTGCTAACCCTAAAAATCTTTTTTTAAATACCTCCATAAATAAAAATTAAATTCCTGGAGCAATTTTCTTTCAACACTCATTAGAAAGAGGAAGATTTCTTTAAAAAAAAAAAGGTGAGGCAAAGAGAGCCAAAAAGAAAAATCCAAGCTGTTAGTAACTCTTTAATCTTTAGCGTTTAGAGAACTAGTTATTTCACAAATTATTTTAAATGTGGATGGGTTATTCTTTAGTCTACTGTTCATTTGCTATCCTAAACTGGAAAAGAGAGTCAACTACCCCCCATTCAGTCCAATCCAACAAAATAAAATAAAACCCCCCAGGGGGAAAAAACACCCACTCCCCAAGTAACTAGTAGTCCAGGTTAAGGGTCAAAACAAATGCAGATCCCAAGAGAAAGACCCACACGGGCACAAGGGGGCATGCATTTTTTTATATACACACCCCTAAATCCCAAGCCTTAAGACTAAAAATAATTAATATTTCCAACTTGTCAATTCTCTTAAGGTTCAACAGCAATCCTTTCTCAGGACTGGCTGGTATATTTAATGAAATCCTCATCCTTTTCTCCAAACAAGGAAAAAAATAGTCCACTCAGTGGGAAAACCATGTGGGGACTCTACCCTGGAGTCTAACATGTTATCCACTCTTACATTTCTAGTGGGGAGGAATACTCAACTTGTTTAATTCTTATGGGGAAAGGGAAAGACAGAACAAGTGGACTGGAATTTCAATTCTTTGTCCACAGAACTAAAGAGGGATAAATCGAAGTTCCCCACCCCTCCCCCCAACAAAAATAACTAGTAAATGTAGCAACCCAAAACCCAAGCCCAAGTTCATCTTTTCCAAACAGCGGACTGACTAGCACAGCTCACAATGTCCCACTCATCATAAAAATCCACGTTAATTTATCCAGGCAGATCACCATAAGTAAACTTCTAACTAAATTAATCTCACATTCATGCCAGAACTTTATGCACATTTTAATTCTGGCATCTTATATTTATTTTCTTGTTGACCCTCAACAAACTGCATTTCAGCAACTCTCCAAAAGCTAGGGCTAAGCGAAAAGGCCACAGGTTATTATTCCACGAGGAAAACCAAGGTGGGGGGGCAGCAAAGAAAACTGTCTCAGCAACAAAAGCATCTTCACTCCCTCCCCAGCAGTAATGGCCCCTCCCCCGCCTCCGAGGGTGCCCCGGGTCGCAAGTAACAACAGCAGCAACAAAAATACTTGTGGAGCAAGGAGACGGGGCAAGAGAGGGGTAGAAAGGCTAGAGACCTAAGCGGGCACCCCGGTTCTCCAAGAGAAATCCCAAATCGAGGCAAATGTGGACAGCTCCACGTGTGCACGGGAAAACTGTGCCCAACGCCCTTCTTAGCCAGAAGCAGGCCCTGGAATGGGAGAGGGAGCCAGCGTGGGTGGGTGTTGAGGGCAATTGTGCAGGGTGTACCTCCGGGCTTACTCAAAACTCAGACTTGGCGAGTTTGGGGAAAAGGCAATTGCAACAATAGTAAGATAAAAAGCACAGGCCCCTTACCTCTTTCTACGCCCAGTCCCCCTCAAACTAAAATTTAAAAAAGCCAACGGGGCAACATGGTGGTGGGTTCCTTCCTTCCTTCCTTCCCTCCCTAGTGAAGGAGGAAACGTCTCAACAACGCTCCAGGCCTCGGCTCCCTCTCCGGCCCCATTTTTCCAAAGAATGGAGACATTACACAAGAGCACACATATAAAATTCCCAAGTATCATACGTTATCAAATACACCATAGAAATTCGAGGGAGAATACCAAGAAATCCAATGTCCCTAATTTTTACAGGAGAGGAAACTGAGGTCTGAAAAAGAGAGATGACTTGCCCAAGGTCATCCCGCTAACAAAAAGGGCCGTGATTAGGTTCATTCAACAACCTAACGAGGAGTGTTCCTAAGATACAAAGACCTCCCGTGGGCAAAGGGAACCTCCAACTGCGGTGGAGGTCTCCTCGGACTCTCTCTACACGGCTCCGCAGGGCTCAGTTTCCTCGTCTGTAAAAGGAGAGCGTTGAGCCGGCAGCTACAGAGCCTGGACTCCGTCTCCTGGGGGGTTCCCGGGTCCTCCCGCAGCAGCTGGGCGCCAGCACCCGCGAGCATCCCCGACCACGTCCCTGCAGATCGCAGCCGCGGGCAGGGGCGCACCCCCCGCCCAGCCCCGGTTCCCCGCCCCCCCCCCCCCCCCCCCTCACCTCGTCGTCGTGCTGCTGACAGTAACTGACCCGCTCAGGGAACACCGACAGGATGGAGAAGGGGGAGCCGGGGAAGGTCTGGCTGAGCGCGAGCTGCGCCGCCGCCGCCGCCGCCGCCGCCGTGCTGTTGGCCGCGGCGGCGGCGGCGGCGGCGGGGCTGCCGAAACGCTCGATGTAATGGTCTTTGGTGAGGCGCACCCGCTGGTGCGCGCGGACGCAGTTGTCACACAGGTGCTCCTGGCAGTCGAGACAGCGCGAGCTGGCCGCGTTGCCCTCGTCGCATGAGCTGCAGCGCGCGTCGCTCTGGCTGTGCGGCCGCCGGAGCATCAGCGAGGACGACGACGGGGACGACGACAAGGACGGGGCGGACGGGGCGCGCTGCGCGTGCGGGTGCGGGTGTTCGCGGTGCGGGTGCTCCCGGTGCTGGTGCTGGGCCGGCGGCGGCTGCTGCTGCTGGGAGGAGGAGGAGGAGGAAGGCGGCGGCGGCTGCTGCTGCTGCGAGGAGGAAGAAGAGGAGGAGGAAGAGGAGGATGAAGAGGAGGAGGTGGGCGGCGGCTGCGGAGGCTGCAGCGGGGAGCCAGCCGTGGGCGGCGGCTGCGGCGGCGGGGGCGCACGGGGGTGGTGATGGTGGTGATGATGGTGGTGATGGCGGTTGTTGCTGCCGCCGCCGCCGCCGCCGTTGCCTCCGCCGCCGCCGCCCACCACCACCACCCCGCGGCCGTTGTTCTTGGGCGGCGGCGGCGGCTCCTCAGCCGCCGCCACCACGTCCAGCAGGTTGCTCAGGAGGAAGTTGGAGGAGGGCAGCGCGTCCATGCCCGGAGAGTCGAAGAGCACCACTTTCTGGTCGCAGATGGGGCAGCGCAAGTGGAGGGGCTCCCCGGGCGGCCCGCCCGCCGCCGCCGGGTGTCTCTGCGCCTCCAGACACTGGCGGCAGAAGGCGTGGAGACAGGGCAGGACGTGCAGTCTCCGAGAGGACGAGGAGGAGCAGGAGGAGGAGGAGGACGCAGAGGCCGGGCCGCTCCCGCCCCCAGCCCCGCCCCCGCCCCCGGCCGAGTTGGAGGTCTGCGAGGACGGTGGCGACGTGGACGAGTTGGAGGAGATGGAAGCCCGCGAACCGCACATCTTGCACTGGGGGCAGAGCTGGAAATCCGGGTCGGGATATGAAGCCATTGGCAACGAAAACGAGAGGAGAAGGAGGAAGCGCTGGGGTGGGGGGGAAGTGCGGGGGGGGCGCAAAGCAACCAACTCACCCAGAAAAATGCTTCGATTAGTCGTTCGATTTGAGAACCAAGTTCTTCCTCCGGGCACCTGGGAGATGGCCGGGCTTTGCAAGTTTTTTTCTCCCTCCTCTCCCCTACCTATAGTTAACCTTAACGCTGTTTACATTAAATAATAATATCGATTTCCCGGAGCAATCAATAACCGACACAGATTCTCCTCCTTCCCCCGGGTCAGCAGCTGACAACGTGGTTAGTGTCTTTTCTAGAACACAAGTGCTTAGACAAGCCTGACCAAGGCGGGGAGAAGGGGTCAGAGCAAAGAAGGGGGGGGCAAGGGAACCCCCACTCTCAAACCTCAGGCCAGCTGGGGGTTGGCTAGTAGTTTACAGCCTGAGGAGAAAATGTAAGGGGCGGGGGAACGTTGTGCGATTCTACTCTATAGGGAGCCAAAGCCCAATCGCCCCCTCCCCCGAAAATCCTCTGTGGTTTTCTTCTCGGGGTCAGGGTTTCTTGGTTGGTTGATTGGTTTTCACCTGGGCCTCGTCTCTTCCTGTTAGGAGACGACAGCAGCCTCAAAATAGTGTAGCGGCGCTGCGGTCCCCCCCTCGAACGGCCAGCTCCCTTCCTCTCCTGCCACCACATGTCTGGGGCACGGGAGGATGGTTTGGTGGGGGGGGCCCGCAAAGCTCTTGGGTGCCTCCCCCAGCCGCGCTCACGTGTGGCCGTGTTATCGCCTCTTGGGTTCTGGCCACGCGGCAGCGGGTGCAGCTGCACCGGGCGCCCCGCGCTCCCTCTCCGGCTAGAAGGTGGGTGGCTCTGGAGGGCGTGAGACCGCGGGCAGCTGCACGCGTCCCAGCCTGGGAGATCGGGATGGGGCGGTGGCACTGGTAGTGGCCCCGGAGGTGATGCGCGCCCACCTCTCCTCCCTATGCTAGTGGCTTTGGAACGCCGGGCGGGCTGGCGGGCATGGGCTCTCGCGTGCTACCCGCGCGGCGGCGGCGGCTGCTTGTGCAGCGCGTGGCCGCTGGTCCCCGCCGGCCGCCCTGAATTATTCATCCCTAGGAAGATATTATATGTACCCTTTCGCCGGTTCGAATGGTCGTGCAATGCTATCCGACCTTCGCTCACCCCCTCCCCCAGCTACCGCTACCCCCATCCCCCTCTCTCTTCCTTCTTTCAATCTATCTTCTCTCCTCTCCCCTCTCTGGGACTCCAATCTTTGCCGCGATGGGGGATCACATTTCCTTTGTCATCTTCGCGTTTCGTGTTTTCTTCTCTCCCCACCACTTCCCCGCCCCATTTAAATGCTCAGTCCAGAAAAGAGCCCAGGGCCTGGTGTGAATTACGAACAGCCGGCGGTGCACTCGTGGGCCTGGGCCGCGGCGTGGAGGGGGCTGGCTTCCCATACACGCAACCTAACCTAGTCCAGGAAAAGGGCCCGGCAAGCGCTGCAGTGCCCGGGCTTGGGGGTGCCCCGAGCCTCGGAGGACCTGGCCCAACTCCGCCACTTACAGGCTGTATGTTATAAACGTGTATTTCTCTTGTGTGTATATGTGTGTTTGCGCGCGCGCGTGCTTCCCCGCTCCCCTTTTTTCTTCGGCTGCTTCCCCATCTCCACCTCCTCTTCCTCTTTCCAGGACACCAGGCATTGAAACCGATCGGAATTTGGAATTCTTTTAATCTCCAAAAGAGCGAACGAACTCACTTCCGCCGGAGCGAGGAGTTGGGGTGGGGGGGACCTTAGGGAGGGTCGGGAGGAGGGGTAGGGTGGGGGGGTCTAAAAGACAAACAGGAAACATTAGCCTTCTTACTACTGCTGGCCGGCTTTTGTACGCTCACTCTCTCACTCCCACCGTTCCACACCGAGGGATGAGTTCCTGAGCGAGCTAAAATATTATTTGTAAGGCCACCAGCAAAGGCTGGAGCGGGGCGGACAGGGAGCTTTCACGTTTCAGCTAAAAGGAGGAGTTAATTTGGAAAATCTAGCTTGCACGTCCTTTGGCTGCCCCCGAGATCAAAGGCCAAGAACCGTTTGGTTTACTCCAGTGTTGGAAGCGAGGTGTGTGGAGAAAGGCTGATTTTCTGCTAGCGTTAAGATCATGCATGTATCTCGTACACAGGTATAATTTGTACGCAAACATATATGAGCTGTCTCATCCAAATTCTTGGTCTGAGCTAGGGCAGTTAGTTCTTCCCTCAGGGAAGACTTGGATAAGCAGTCTTTTAATATCCGGGATTTTAATCATGGGAAGAGACAGGGGTTACTGGGAATGTTCAGAATGCAGCAGCTCTAGGAACCCTCAGTGAAGCCAGCTGAGTATCTGGCAACAGCTGAACGGTTTTTTTTTGGGGGGGTGAGGGGAGAGAAGATTCACTGGCTCTTAGGATGAGATAGCAGGAATGAAGGCCATGGATGTGGGAGGAGGAGGAGTTAAGACAAAGCTGGGTCTCTAGCATCTTAACGGTTGTTTTTTTTTTGGGGGGGTTGCATTACTCATGTTCAGTGAAATCATGCCTTAATACAAGATAAGTCCTTGTTTCCAAAAATCCATAGAACTCACAGGTTGTTTCAGGGCTACCTCCCTCCCTTCGGAGGGAAATGCGCTCCTCTTTTCTAAGCCTGGGAGTTGGGAACCTCTGGGAGGGGTGTTTAAAAGCCACCACATTTTTATCCCAGAGATCAGCCAGGAAGCGGCCTTTATATTAAACCGGCTGGATCCATGTGCTGATGGCTCACAGGAAGTAAAGAGACTCAGCTCCCCGACCACTAAGGACAGCATCACCCAGTGTTCCTAAGCCAAGAATTCAAGTAGGCCCAAGATGTCCCAAGGGCCCTCCAGCTCATGCTTCATGGTCATGAAAACTCCAAATACCTGTGCTGGTGCCCTGGAAATTGGAAATGCTCAGTGCTTCTAGATAACACAATGGGGAAGGCAACTGAACCTGGGACTTCCATTAACAGGGAGTGCAAACAATTTTCCTTTCATTAAACAAGTCTTAAGCTTTTAATTCCAGTGCCTTTCCTCTGTTACTTATTTCCTGTTTATCCCCTATATAGCTTGTTTTGTAGATATTCGTTAGCATGTTGTTTTCCTGGCTTTAGATTGTGAGCTCCTTGAGGTCAGGGATAGTATTTTTCCTTTTTTTGCATCCCTAGTGTTAACACAGTACCTGACACATAGTAGACACTTAAAAGCTAGTTGATAGAAATGAGATAATATATAAAGGACTTTGCAAACTGCAAGTGGCCATCTGAATGCTGGCTATTATTGGCCACCTCAGATTGGGTGCTGGGAATTCAAAGACAAAAACAATCTCATCTCAAAAAGGTTTCTGTTTGGGGGTAAACAACAGTACATGCCTAGATGATAAATGAATACAAAGTTATTGGGGTCAGAGAGGCCTCTTAAGGATTTTGGATCCTAGGAAGCTAAGCCAGAGTTCCTCCTTTATAAGATTTGGAAACAACACCAATGACAAAAACCCAGAATCCATGTTGAATGTTCTATTAAAAAACTACTGAAGGCAAGCAGACCACCTGTCCCCCACCTTGTGTTGCTAGGGCCAGCTCTATTTCTGCAAATAATGTCAAAAAGAACACAGTCCTTACTACGTAGGCACCTATGCCAGCTACATGGACATATAGCACTAGGGGACCCAGCTCCAGAGGCATTGGGTGGGGAGGACTCCCCCCCCCCAAACAAAACTAATGAGAAAACAGGGGAAAGATTGGTCAGAGGAAAGGTGTGCCCTACCACAACAGCGTTTGGGAAGACATGCTGTCTAATTATGCTTTTGACTATTCTTATCTGCCATACCAAGATTTCCTGATGGGGGAATAAGGTGATAAAAAAAACACACCCAAAAATCAAACTTAAGGACTCAAAAAACAAATTTTAAAGTAGATGTCAAAAGATGAAAGCATTTTAGTTTGGTGAATTTTTTTTTTAGTAAGTCATGAAGGAGAAAAAAATAAGGGAGGAAAGTGCTTTGTGAATTTATGTTTTCTCAGGAACAAGAGTTTTTAAGTTTCTCTTAGCCAGAGGCTTCTTTGGGGGGAGGGGGTAGATGGGATGAAAAAAACCTTGTTCTTGTGTCCCAGAGATCCAAGTCCGGGTCCTGGCTTAACCACTACACAGTTGTAATTCTGGGCATGTCACTTCACATCAAACCTCAGTTTGCTCACCTGAACAGAGGAAATAATAATCCTGGAACTTCATGAGGTCATAGAAAAGTAAAAGGGCCAAGGCATGGTGGTGGCACCAAAGGGTGACCACTGCAATGACATCTGAATGAAAGTTCCTCAGGAGCCTTCCTTCAGATAGGCAGGAAACCAAGGACAGTGTAATACAAGTTATCTCTATGACTGTGAAGAAGGGTAAACAAGACTCAAATAAGGCTGACCTCAAGTGAAACATGACCTAGGCAGGGTGTAAGTTTTCATTATTAAATTTTAGTTTATTGATTGACTCAGAACCCACTACTATTCCTTTTAAAATAATTTAAAAATCCATCAACAAATATGAGTCTTCCCATGCAGAAATCAGAGTACAAAAAGAAAATAATTAGGAACATATATCACAAAACAAACAAAAACAACCCCCCCAGATTAGAAATGATTGTTCCAGTGCTTATAAACTAGTATTTGCTTTCCCCCTCCTTTTGTGCTCCTAAAAATTAATCTGGTTTTCCCATTACCCCCACCCCCTTGAACAAAACTTTACAAAACAAATCTGAAAAACAAAGCTCTTGATCACAGTCGCATAGTCAAGGAAAAAAACAAAAGAAACCTCCACCATCAGCCATGTCCAAAATGTCTGCCTCTTTCTGCGTATTAATTTCATCACCTCTGCCAAGACGTGGGTGGCATTTTTCATCTTCATTCTTTTGGACTCATAATTTATCATTGAGATGGTTAGAGTTCTGATGTCATTCAAAGTTGGTTTTCACTATAATTTAT